CGCGTAGCTTTCCGCAAAATTCATAACAAAACGTCATTCCATAACACTAACAGTTATCTTTTTATATCTTTATAAATTACTTGATTGTCATTGGACATCTGAATCATCCTTCATGGAGTATATTTTTGTATCTTATTTCAAATGAAAATAAACACTCAATAATAATTCGTATAACAGGCTTAGAATTCAAAGCGATATAGAATATAGTGAAAGCAAACAGCATGTGACTGCTCATCGTATGGTGAGAATTGTAATTAATTTAAACAGTACTGTTCGTATACACGAAGTACATAAACACTTGTATTCTTTCCGTAGGTGAATCAATCCACCTGTTATTATGTTAAAGCAACAAATGGTATACAAATGGTTGGTTGGAACGTTCCGAGCTTAGACACGTGGTTTATATAACAAACATTATACAGAAGCTCTAAAAACAGTACACAAAACTGTGTTTAATTTCAACCTAAAATTATGTATCGTGCCGGAAAAATTAAAAGGTTGTAGATAATGTGAAGTATTATCAAAAACATTTTATTATGAAGCACGAAGTTAGAGCATTTGTTATTTATACACGATATCTCGAATAACATACTTAGAAAATAATTAGTTATATATTAGGTATAAATCTATATTTCGTAACCTTTTCCTACATTTCAATAATGTTTCACCTCAAACTGCCAGGTGGTGAGGGCGCTCGACTCGCAATCTGCGGGTCACGGGTTTGAATCCCTGTCACATCAAACATGCTCGCCTTTTCAGCCATGTGGATGTTATAACGTTGCGGTCAATTCCACTATTCGTTGGTAAAAGAGTAGCCCAAGAGTTGGCGGTGGGTGGTGATGACTAGCTGCCTTCCCTCTAGTCTTTCATTGCTAAATTAGGGACGGCTAGCGCAAGTAGCCCTCGTGTAGCTTTGCGCGAAATTCATAACAAACAAACACCTCAAACTTTCAACGATGTCCTCTGACATCCTAACATATACTAAGACATAAATTGAAAAATGTTGCAAAGAAATTTTTATTGAAACAATTAAACTCACTGTCGATCACCACCATGCTTCATTGAAATAAACGTAAGTTTTAATTTTTTAATTATATCTTATTTGACATTTAAAAAAAAACGTGTGTTGGCTAGTGGTTTTAAATTCCCAATTCCTACAAAAGGGCTTAAATATTAGGAGTTAAACAGCTTCTGCAGCAAAAGTCTAATTATACAACCTGGCGGAAAAACAACGAATCTTTTAACAACGTAAGAACCCAAGGAAACGTCCCTCGGCTAGTCAGTGGTAAGTTTATAGACTTACAAAGTTAAAATCTGGAGTTTGATTCCTCTCGGTAAACATAATGTAGATAGTTCATTGTAAAAAAAAATTGCATTAAAAAATCAAATATGCAGGTTAGTATAATAATAGAGTGAGAAACTTTTAGTAATAAATCTAACATTTTTGAACTAGATAAGTGATAAAAAGTGATAAGTTTTAAGTGATAAAACTAAATTTTTGGACTAGATATAGATCCAACTAAACTAGAGAATATTAATTACAAAGATGAGAATGAAATTTATTAAGAGAAAATAAATGTCATAAAATATAACTAATTGTATCTCATTTTGTTATCATGTATGGGGTTTCTAAACGACATAAATAAGGAGGAATTACAGGCAATAAATAGGTTAAGTACAAAGGAAGATAGACATATATCTATATTTAATCCCCCCCCCCCAACCGATACCCACTGTGTGCAAAGAATATGTAGCCCATGGGTTATCTTTCTCATTAAAAAGGCATGGCCTGGTGGTTAGGGCGCTCGACTCACAATCTTCGGGTCGTAGGTTCGAATCCCCGTTATATTGTGACGTTCAATCCCACTATTCGTTGGTAAGAGAGTAGTTCAAGAGTTGGTGGTGTGGACCAGCTGCCTTCCTTCTAGTCTATTACTTCTAAATTAGGGTCGGCAAGGACAAATAGTTCTTGAGTAACTTTACGCGCAATTCAAAACAAACCCATTGGAATACTTCTTAAAAACAAACATATATATTGTTACGTCTGTTTTCGTAGAAATTCTTTCCGAGAAACTTCAGCGATACAAGTCTTTTCTTAAATAAAACTAGTTTATTCTTTCTCAATTCAACTTTGCAATACACTTAATTTCCACAGTCACTTTAACTTAAACACACACTATAATTCAAAACGATACACGCACTTTTCTTACGGTCACTACTGCGCTTGACTCAGTTGTCCGTCTCTATCTCTGCCTGTCTGCAATTCCAATTCCGATTAACTGTCTCGTATTTTCTGGCGCACTTATATACAGGAATAGAGGGCATCTAGTAAATACTGGATTATTCGTGATGTTTCCCGATCTTTCTAGAACTCATTACGTGTTAACAGCGTGATGAGACTTCCGCTGTCGTAACAATATATATATACATATATACATAGTGTCAGGTACATATAATCATGAACTAGTTGATTATCTATTGTTTTAGTTGAGTTTTCGGGACTTTTACTTAGAAATGATTATGTTATCGAAGACAGTTTTCTCAAAATATGATAATAATAATAGCTCTCAAGTAGCTCAACGGCAAGTCTGACGGTTTATAACACTAAAAACCGAGTTTTAATACCCGTGATTGTGTAGTTTTGTGCTAAACTACAAACAACACATTCTCTCTCACTTCTTAACTGTAAGGGTTTTTGTCTGATCCAGAGTACTTCATACTCGTGGTGAGATAATGAATATACACCACCTTAACAGGAAGGTACAGATAAGAGGAAATAATTCGACATCTGAGTTTAGTTTCTTGGAATATCAGGTATTCTTTTTCTTGGGACATCAAGGGCAGTAGATGCTGATTATTGTAGCTGTCTGCAAAGATCGTTACAACGGGTTTTATCGTTTCTGCAGTCAGTAACAGCAGCTTTCAGGTCATGTTTTTATATGTATATCTGTGTGATCTGAAGAAAATGGCCGACATTATCAGCAACTCGGAATAACCCATGACGTGTTGTACAAACCATGTAGTCTGTCTACCGTATATAGACATCCTTATAAAAATAGCTAACAAAAGAATATGACACAGAGAAGAGATAAAAATGAAATGACGAGACGAGTCAGTTCACCACCACCCACCGCCAACTCTTGGGCTACTCTTTTACCAACGAATAGTGGGATTGACCGTCACGTTATAACGCCCCCACGGCTGAAAGGGCGAGCATGTTTGTTGTGACGGGGATTCAAACCCGCGACCCGCAGATTGCGAGTCGAGCGCCCTAACCACCTGGCCTTGCCGGAGCCATCCGAGGAATACCGATGGATGTCACCACTGACGAGATCCAGCAAAAACTAGAAGATCAGGCCTTCAAAATCGCCATCATCAAAGTTTATTTTCATGGTCCACGTTACAGTGTTGACATAATGTACATATATTAAAGTAGATTTCTATATTTTAATTTTAAACATCTCGAATTTGAATTGTACATATTATATTACTATTAAGTTTTTTCTGGACTTGAGTCTGAACATAATTTATAAAGTTATAATTTTGTCTTCATTTCAGTTTCACCTAAGTACATCTAAGAGCTTATAACAATTAAATTTCTATCCTTCCCGTGTCCATACAATTTCTAACTGACTCTTGTACACATTACTTTAATTCATTATAATCTCTGATTGTTTATAGAATGATTTAAATTGATCTTTGACTTCTGATTTATTTTAATAACTTTCATAAGTATATTTCAGTAACTATTTAATATAGCGTTTAATAGCGTGTTTATTTGTAATCGTTATTAACTTGAAGTTTTGACTACTTTAATAGCATTAGATATCATTAATTCATTAACATCATTGTAAACAATGTTACTATATTACACTTTGAGTCATAACTTTCAAATACGATAAAAATTCAACATCATCGAGCTTATGTTTCTTATTAGAAACTTAAGGTTTGGAACTCGATTCGCAGTTCGCGGTTTCGAATCCCGTTACCGAACATGCTCACCGTGGGGACGATTAGATGTGATGTTTAATCCCACTATTCGCTGGTAAAGAATAGCCCACGATTTGACAGTAGATGTCATTGAATAGCTGACTTCTCTCTTGTCTTTCACTTTAATAATTATTGTTGGTTGTTATTGTTACCATCGAGTAACTTGAGTAACTGTGCGGAAAATTCACCAGAAGAATAACAACAACAATATATATATAACCTTATCAAACCTTCTTATTTTGTAACCAAGTATGAAACCGAATATTGTGAGATTATTTTTTTGTATAGCAGTAACACAAATCGTTCTACTATAGACGTTTTTGTTTTGTTATATGTAGTAAAGAAGTGAATGTCTTGTTCCTTGTTCTGTCGTTATTATTAAAACAATTAATATTTGTTACGTCAAAAAAGAAAATATTTTTTCCAACAAGGTTTTAAACTGATCTTTAACTTCTTATATATATTCACAACTTTGATATATGTGTTTCCGAGAACAGCAGCTTATTTAATATAGTCTTCAAAAGTATATTTATTTGTAATCAGTTTTAACTATAAGTTTGGACTACTTTAATACCACAAAAACTCAGATTTTATTACTTGGTGGGCAGATCGTTGATAGTTCATTGTTCAGATGTGTACTTAACAATAAGCAAACAAGTTCTTTAATAACACGTGATCATTATAGACATGGTTCTTTTCTGTGTAAAGAAAGTTTCTAAAAATCATTAATAAAAAGTTCTACGTATCAACTCATTTAAATATGTACGTAGTTATCAAATGCTCTTATTTTCACTATTTAATATTTGAAAGTGATGTCTGTTTTATTCATTGAAAGGTTCTGTATAAGAAGAATTTAGGAGACGTTTTTAATTCATAAAAAGAAAAACTGGATTTTGTTTCTTTAAATAAGGTACTGATAATAACCACAACGTATATTTAAATAGAGGATCTATTTTTCTCTACCACAACCTAAAAACCATACTTAATAAATCACTACAAATTCAACAGTGTAGTTGCTTTATGATAGTTTTATTTTCTAGATAAAGGTATCAGAGAGTTAAACATGTCCCAAAAAGAATGAAACCATGACAGATTCAAATTATTATATTATAGGTAATATGTAGATGCTGGTCCTCATCAGCTGTTAAGTGGTCCGTTGAGGCTGTAAATAAAAATAACATTAAAATAATTAATTATTAGTGTCAATTCACTTAGAACAGAACTAATAACATTTCATTCAATATACCAGTCAAATTATTTAATACCAAATATGGTAGAAAAAACAAAATACTGACCAATTTAACTGGCAGAGAGTAATCGACCTGTTCTATCTGGATAAATGCATTTTGTCTTTTATGACTATTTCGAGAAATCAAGCGTGACGTGACGAGACACACGCTGGTTATATGTAG